GAAAGAGAGGATGGAAAAAACAATTCTTAAAATGGTGGAGAATTGGGATTCGAGGTAAAATGTCACTGGGAGGTTTTCTCCTGGGGAACAGTTAGTTAAATGAGTGCTTGTTCTGGATTGTGCATGCAGCTGACTGCTTGTCTGCTTCTGGAGTTTAGAGTCCTGCCTACCATTTACTCCAGCTGCTCTGAGTTGTGGGGGGGCTTGTACTACCTGAACCACTACACAGCAGGGGGAGGGTGTGGCATTGTGGCATCATCCAGGGACTGAGTCTGGTTTGAATATGAAATATCTATAGGGAACTTTCATCTAGGGCTGCCATTTCCAGGGAGAAGATTTAGCTGGATGTGGCTGTGGATTTTTATACCCACACACATACACATATATAAATAAAAACCATTGAGTGTATTAAGATTGCAGAGGGGCATGACTACGCAAGACCCCTTTGCCATCTTTCTGCTTTTGCAGGTGGGACTATGCCTTCCAAAGGGAAGTAGTTACCAGCCGGGTGGAGACTACCAAGACCTTGGCCAAAGCCATTGCTGAGGCTGAGCAGCCCCCTCGTGCCTGGGTCCTTGTCACCGGCGTAGGTATTTACTGTGTATGTGGATGAAGTGTGATTTGGTCCTGATCTGCAGCCCTGCTGGGTCAGTAGTCCCTCTGTACAGGAAAGGAAGAGTGCAGCCTCTTACTTTTGTGAGTTACTAACAGAAAAGAAGAAGCAGAGCCAAGTGCAGCACAGCCTTTAACAAACCTACTGTGCCCTTCTGGCGCAGAAGGAAAATAGTCCTCACGTCTCCTGCAGTCCTGATATTCTCCTGTGACTGTGATAAAGCAGTCCCCATTTACTAGATAGAGTACATTCCCTAACAACGTAGATTTCTGTCCACCCATGCTCACAGAGGAAAAATAATTTCTTTGGGAAATTTCTCACAAAATCTTGTGCTTCTGTCCCTGACACTAAAAAGGAAAATAGTTCCCTAGCCTGTAGCATAAGGGCAAATCACACCTTATGGTGACATTGATGATGTTCTGCCATTGGGAGTAGATGAATAATATTGCTATGGCAAAACACAGCTGTCTGCAAAAGGGCTTGTCTTTCCACCACTGCTGGGAGGAAAAGGTTACCCTTGTAACCACAAGCCTTTTGTGGAATAGATGTGCTTCTGCCCTTGGGGAGGTGGAAGAAAATAGCCACTGAAATCTCCTGGGAAATGTCTTTCTCCCATTGTAAGAAGAAATGTTGTGCTTCCATCATTTAGAGAGGAGAAAATAGTCTCCGACACATGATGGCTGTGGGAGAGGTTGGGATATCTGTAGTGCTTCAGTGAGGGACAGAATGACCATGGGAATAAGGACCATGATCCAGCAATAACAGCCCTTTCTGTTAACCTGCCAGGGTATTACCGCCCTAGCCTGACAACTGAATATACCGAAGACAGTTCTGGTGGGGACTGTGACTTCTTCTCACGCCTGGTGCACACCTGGGAGTTGGCAGCTAAAATTCCAGGGAACATCACCCGTGAAGTGGTGGTGAGATCTGGTGAGGTGGGATGCAGGGCACTAGTGCAGATCAGCCCCAGGTTGAGGGGACTGGCTTGGGGGTTGGAGAATGGGGTATGGGTACTTCTCCATTGGAGGGTTCTGGCTCAAGACTGGCCCCACCGTGATGGGATGAGGTTTCTTAGTTGGGTAGGGAATGGAGCATAGGCCTTTCCCTTTGGGGGAGGGGTGGGGGGGTGTGGGGTGAAGTGTTGTGGCTTCAATTCAGCCCAGGATAGGGAGATTGTGTAGCACAAAGGATGGGGAATGGGACATGTGACCTTTCCTCTCTAGAGCTACTTTGATAAGGCCCAGTTAGGGGGCACTGGCTGACACAGGGGCATTATCTGACTCTCTTCTCTCCACAGGAGTGGTACTGGGGAAGAATGGAGGTGCAATCTCACAGATGCTGTGGCCCTTTCGGCTGGGCCTTGGTGGCCCCATTGGCTCTGGTGTCCAGCCTTTCCCCTGGATCCATGTTCAGGACCTGGCCGGCATTGTGTCTCATGCCCTAGAGACTGAGGGTGTCCGAGGTGTCCTCAATGGCGTCTCCCCAGCCTCCCCCAACACCTCAAATGCTGACTTTGCCCGTGCACTGGGGTCTGCCCTGGGGCGCCCAGCCCTCCTACCCTTGCCCACTGTGGTGGTACGGGCCGTGTTTGGGGCTGAGCGAGGTATCATGCTGCTGGAGGGGCAGCGAGTGGTGCCGAAACGCACCTTGGAGTGCGGCTACCACTTCACCTTCCCTGACCTCCCTGTGGCCCTGAGGGACATTGTGTCCTGAGGCTGTGAGCAGGGCTGGGATAGGAGGTTACACTGTTTAGGCATTTCCCTTTCAATAGGCCATGGAGGCTGTTGTCTTTAGCTTGGCTGTCTTTCTCAGACCCCGCTGACATCCTTCTCTGTCACCCCTTTTTGAGGACTTCAGTTGCTTTCAGCTCCACTTTAAGGAGTTCTCCATTTTGAGCCCCTTATTTTTTTCTTTTGGTTTTCTGTGTCTCCACAACTTCCCAGTTCCTTCTGAGTCCCACCTTCGCATCCCACTGTGTTCCCACCACCCTTCTGTGTAGGGGCAAATGGATGGAGCAGCTCATTTGGAGACCCAATTTCCCCTCCTTTTCAAAGTTTGGGCTGTCCTGATTTGATCTCCCTTCTCGTGCTCATCTTCATTTAACTCTCCCATCCAAGTCTAACCAGGTTGCACTCCTCTATCAGTTGTTTTCCATTTTGTGACCATTTTTAAGGGGATGGGCTCCTGCAGAGAGGGTCCTGGAGGTTGTATTTCTCCATGGGACCATGGGCATGATTCCCCCACTAATATATGTTGTATATAGCATTGTGCAGTTGTTGGGGACTAAATTGTGGCTGGATCTCTGCTGTGTGGGGAGTTCCTTTGTCAAATGTATGGTGCAGTAGGGGCTGCTGTGCTACGCAGCGGGTATGTAGGGCGTTTTGCCCCTCAGTCAATGCTGATGACAGAGCCTCAGTGTAGCACAAGGTGCTGCAAGGATGGGGTGAGGGTGCTCTCCCGTTGTAGTCAGTACCAGTTCTACTACCTAACTGTGATGCTGTGGGCATGATTTATCAGGAAGCTGGTTGGGCCACTGTCGTATGGCAACCAGGACTGACTGAACTTGGCAGAAAATGAATGTATCCTGTTTAGTTTTTAACATCTCTCTCAATTCCACTCTCTTCCCCACACACTGCCCCACCTCAGGTCACTCTTAACGTGACCTCTCCCAGGCTCCTATGACCCATCTCCCCCTATGTTCTGTGGGACTAATCCTTATCTTCCACAAGATTAGGAGAAGAGGAGGCCTGTGATCCAGGTGGGGCTGTTTTAGGAGGGATCTGCAGGTCAGGATTGAGGGGCACCACCAAAGCTGTCTGGTCTCTTGACTGGTGAGTAGCATGGTTGTTTGGATGGAGGCCCTGCACTGTTGAGGCCTATGCAAGTTCATCCCAACCAGCTCTTTTCTGCCGGAGTTGCCCTTTCTGGCAACTCACCAGAGCACTGGGTGCCTGGGGAACCATTAGTTTTGGTCCTGCTGGTAATGCAGCATGTCCTCTCCACTGAGGAAATAAAATATTTGGAGATAGTTGTGACTTCCCCTTCCCTCCCGCTCCCATGCCTTCCTTCAGCCCAGAGCAGCATAGAATCAGTAGAGCTGTGTGGAGAAGAGTGGCCCGGTTAGTGACTGTGTGTGGGATGCCTGCGGGCAGCAGTCACTGAAATCAGAAAAGCTGGGGGCAACTTCTTCTGTGCTTGAGGACCTAGGAGTCCTAATTTCTCCCTGTCCTGCTCTAGGTTGTTACTTCCAGATTTTAGATCTGAGTGCCCTGCATATTCCAGAACTGACAGGTCTGTTGGTCAACCTGGCTGTAACTGTTCTTGGCAGCCAGCCCCTAGGAGCTGTTGTCACCGGCTGTGAGCATGTGCTCAATCACATTTCAACATGCTCCAGGCAAACCAGGGGCTTTATGGAATTAAATGAATTCAAAATCAAGGAGCTTTATGGAAAGGAGCTTCTATGAGTGAGAAAGAGAGCTCAGGATGGGAATGAGACCCAGATACCCAATTTAGCACTGTTAGGGGGTCTTGTAGAACACAGCTCTGGTAGAGGAGAGTGGGATGGAGGATGGGATCTCAATATCAAAAGGAAGGACACAGGAGTCATTAGCTAAGACAAAAGCAGCAAGGGGCACAAGGGCTATCAGGACTAAATTGGTCTGAGGAGCCATGGGTGTGGAGAGAACAGTGGAGTGTTTCTGTGGTAATTGGGGAGGCGCAGGGGGCACCCTCCCCGGACAGACAGAGCACAACTATTGCTTTCCTGCTCTGTGGTCTCTGTTACTCCCAAAAGCAATCCCTAAGGGGGAAGTACAATCCCGCAAACAGATCAAGAACTGCATCTGATGCCAGGCCCCAACATCTTATACCATGTGCCCCGCAACATCTGATGCCAGGACCCAATTCACTGATACACTGAAGTGCAGAAAGGGTTTTACTTGGACAGAGGGATGCTTTATCCACATTAAACCTCTTCTGCACTTCAATGTATGAGTGAGCTGGGGCCTGGCATCAGAAGTTGCTGGGCATACAGTATAAGAATGTTTCTGATTATTGCTGTCCCTCCCCTAAGGTCAAGCTTAGGTTTATTTCTTGTGTTGTAAACAGTGCTCTGTTATGCCCCATGGCCCTAACCACTTCTGTCAAGTTGGCAGTAGACTTTACCAGTTGGCTTCCCTTCAAAGAGAACTTGGCCAAAGGGTCTTAAAACAGCTTTTGTTGGTTTATGCTCTGCATGTTGGTCCTGGAAGTAGGTGGCGACAAATGGCAAGCAGGCTGGTTCTGTCCATCAGGAATCTCATTTATCCATTGAAAATGGATTCCTAAATAACAAGTGACAGTTCTTTGAGTGCCTTCCAGCTGTATTTGGTATGCTGATGAGAGAGATGAGAGATTATTTTAAAACTGAAGAGCAGAGAATGGACTTGAGGTCTGTACCAGATTTCATGAACCTGATACATTCAGAGTAGCGGGGAAGATGCTGTTTGTCTTTCACAACAAGAAGTTGAATTTGTTGTATCACCTGTGTTCATTCCTATTTAGACTACAGCGGATCATTTGGGGGAAAATGTCTAGTTTTGATCTAAAGTTTGCCAGTGCTGGAGGAACACAGCTCAGTCCTTCATAAGCTGTTCATACAGTTAATTATCCTCATTGTTAAAAACGACCTTATTCTCAATCTGAATTTGTCTAGTTTCTACTACTAGCCATCTCCTTTTTTTTCTGAACTTGTCCTCTACTGCCATCTTTTGGTGCATTATGTAAGCTAGCTGATTGCATGTCTACAGACACCTCATTTTTCTAGCCCTCTTTGTGTCAGGTCAGCTCATGAGTCCATGAGAGAAAGTCAGCTCTGGTGGTTTGGCATGGCTCCCTGCTAGGATTGCAAGCAGATGCAAGGACCAGCCCTGTAAAACAGTTAGCATAGTGCAATCCTGTTCTAAGACTACATACGTGCTGGAACTACAGTATACAAATAAATAAATAAATAAATAAATACAAATATTTTAAAGCTTCCTGCTGCAGGGGTTATTTTGTCAGGTGTGTGCACAGCACCAGTCCCTAGAGAGAGACCCGAGTCTTGACTGTGGTGTCCCAGTTTGATGCTTCAGTACAGGGCTGTCCAACTTCTGAGTGGGCTGCACACCTTCCAGCTACACGCTGTGCCCTGTGTCCTGATATAGCTGCTCCCTCTCCCTCCACTGGACATAGCATTGGTGCCCTAATGCCACACTACATAGGGGCTCCTAAATCCCCCTAGCCACAAGTTCCCTCAGCTCTGCATGCTCTGCTGCACCATATTGTCTCCAGATGCAGAGGAAGGAAGCAGAAGGAGGAGGGAGGGAGACCCTGAAGACCCTGGCTACAGCAGCAATGAGGGGAGCAGCATCCAGACCAGGAGCCATGGGGCTGGATGTGGCCTGTGGGCAGCCATCTGGACAGCCCTGCTTCAGTAGACTTAACAGTAATAGGACTTTCATGTTTGGTGAAAACTGAGATTTCATTGACAGCATTTGCCATAAAAGTTTTCCACCTGATGTAATTTTCTGACAGCATTTTCTGTGAAATGATTTTGAAATTCCTACTCCCTCCCCCAAAAGAGAAAAGCTAATGAGATGAGCTAAAAAAATACAAAGAAAAAATCTCCCTATGATTTCCATTAAGTGTGAAACTAAACCAAAAGACTTGGGTCTTAGGTAGTGCTTTCTCCTCTGAAGACCTTTAATTACTCCAGAAAGGAGATTGGTATTTGCCCATTTTAAAAATGAGGAATCTAGGGTGCTGGAAGGTTAGGGCCTTGCTCTAAGTGGCTGAGACAGGACTGAACCCAAGGCACCTGAATCACAACCCAGTGCTCTGTCCATGGGTCCACAATATTTGGCTTATGTGAATAGCTAAAGAGGAAGAAGTAGTATCCTGACATTTGAAACTAAAAAGGAATGGAAAAGAAACTCAGATTTTTTTTTTATTAAAAAGGATATTTTTAAAAATCATTTGCATGCATCTTTAATGTTTTGTAAGAAACCATTGCAAACTTAAACCATCTCCAGTAAGACAGTAATAGTACTCTTTGGTTAAAATATATTTGCTTTTAATGTTACATGAGGGTTTTGAAAGGTTTATTTATATTTTAAAATGTTGGGTGTTCAATTCTAGGTACAGTAAGAAATTCTGTTTAAGGGTCCTAATTCATGATAAGGATCCAATTTCATACATCAAGTATTAATGGAGGCTTTAGCAATGCCCAGCACTTAAGATGAGTTGTGGTAGGGTGTGTTCAGTTCCTTTCTTATATTTTCCATTTTCTTCTAATGTACCTTTTGGGTGAACCTTTGGCTCAAGGGAGTGCCAAACTTGGACTTGCTGCTGAGGGTCTTATTGCAAATCCAGCTGCCAGAAAATACATCCTATGGGACCAGGAATGTAGGAGAGAAAGTTTAAGGGGTTTGGGTTGTAGAAAGTTTGTCACATAGGACTCTAGGCAGATTCACCTTGCTCAAGTGTTATTGGCTCAATAGAGCTTGCACTGGACTCTGTTGCTGGTTTGTCTAGGTGACAGCCAAATGATGGCAGTGAGAATAGTGCTGCAGATTATAGCAGCTCGTGTTGCAGGTGATTCATAGAAGATCCTATGGCCAAATAGGATGTCCAAAGACCATCTAGTATGACCTGTATGCATGAGTAGTAGAGTCTGTCCCAGATACTGAATTAAGGCTTGTGTTTGAGAAATATTTGATACGTATTTGATTTGAACACACCAAGCTGCAGAAAATGTGGACCTTCTCAGGAGAGGCAGCCTCAATGTATAATTTACACTTGCTACTTGGAAAGTGACTTGCATCAAACTTTAATTTGTCTAACTTCAGCTCCTAGCCACTGGATCGTTTTCATCTATCAGCTATCTGTTTGCCTTCTGTTTAGTAACAGCCTGGCTCAGCCAGACAGAGCTGTTTTGTGTTGGTGCCATGAATCTTTGACCAGAGAGGTACCTTCAGGCAATGTCTTAAACAGCCCAGCAATGGTACAGGTTTGCTGGGTTAAAGTGGCTGCTGCACTTTCTCCAGCAGTGAGGTTGCATGTGCAAGTAAGCATTAGGAACAGGACCTGGGGTTTCTCTCTTGGCTGTTCTTTCAGGTCCCTTTTTTATGTAGGCTATTTTCTGTTGTCAAGAAATGAGGAGTGGATTTTAACAAGGTAGCAGCAGCAATACCCCAGCTCATTCCTACTTTTTTTTTTTGTATCCCTACTCCAAAAAAATCCAGTTAACACTGACTTTAATACCTTCTGAAAGATGCTGAAACCTATGTTTCTCCTTCCAAATGCTTTCTGAAGGAAAAGGAGGCAGGATAAGAGTTATGGTTAAAATGAAACCCGCCCTTAATACTTGATGTATCAGATGAGATCCTTGTCATCAGTCAGTTGGAAGTGGATGTTCATCTGATAGATCCACTGATTTTAAGTTTGGGGGATATTTAAGAGAGCATCTCTTAAAGGCTGTAGTGTAGGAGGAGAGCACAAGATGTTGTGGGTGCAGAGAACTTCCTAATTTTGGGAATGGAGTTAACATTGAAGCCTGGTGAGAGAGCTCAGGCTCTGAGCTGAAAAGCAGATGTCCCTGTAGCACAAGTCAAGGTTCTCATTGTTCCAGAATTGTGTTTAGATGTTTCAAGTGACTTAAGAATCAGCGTAGCTAATATGCCAGACCTAAGAGGGAGGGGACAGATTTTAAAATAGACTGGTTGTGCATGAGATGCTAGGATGTTTGGCTTTTTAAGGCAATTGGAATTAGGTTTGTTTGAACAATTATGTTTAAGTCAAGCCTGTAAAAAGTAAAAGCCAAGTAAAAGCCTGTTAAAAAAAATAAAAGGAAATTGTGAATTATTGTAAAAGATTTTTTGCTTCTTCAAGCTAGACAGCTGGTACGGCAGGAAATCACCATCCTACAAATAAAACAGAAGTTCACTTTCTAGGCATACAGCCCAGAACTGCTGCCCTCCAGAAATGGAAAGCAGATTGCTTTGTTCAATGTTACATTAAACATTTCCCTGTGCGCTTACATGGGTGAGAGAGAACTTTTTTCTTTTAATCTGGTTGCTTTGAAATTGCATGTTAGTTCAGGGGAGTGATTTTGAATGATGGTAAAGCTCCTATAATTATTTTTAAATTAACTGGAGGATTTGCTGAACAAGTCCCTAGCTCAATTGGCAGATTAGAAATTACCAGGCACCACACTGAGGCCATATGGCTATGCCCTTCTGAAGGTTAAATTAGAGAATTGATGCCAGCTGGTATCTAGTTACATACCTGAGGCAAGGAGTCTCTGATCACTGTTTGTTTCATGGATCACTCACCAGCTGAAGATCAGTGTTGCTGGGTGCACATTCAGCAGCCTCATTCTTTTCCTCCCAATGAACAAGGAATAGCAAGAAGGGGAGAGGATCCAGAGCTCAAATGATGTTTTTAAATGAGTATGGAATTACTTTTTGTCCATTTGCTGTTCACGTTTCACAAGGGAGTCATAAACATAACAATGGTTAGGCAGCTGTTGTACTGAGAACACTGCCTAGCATGCAATCCAATATGGTATCGTCATTTCCTTGTATACCCGACCTGTCTGCCTGTTTCCATCGGTTCTCTCTTGTCTTATCCTTCTATCATAAAGGCACTATCTTTGGCTCTATTTGTGCAGGTGGTAGTACGCTGAGGTCCTGGTCCAAGACTATTGCTCCTACATGCAATGCAGGTCTTTTTCTTCATCTTGTTTTCAGTCCAACCTTTCTATATGATCTGCTCCCAGTATTCTGCACAGGGAGAAGTAATGGTTACCTGTAATCATTGTTTATTGCAGGTAATGATACTGTCTTGGAGAAGATGCTGGTTAGTGAAGGCCAGAACAGCTGCATGAATCGTTCTGTGTGATGAGCATGTGTTAGTGACTGACTGCAAAATTCAGTGACCAACAGAATAGCTGTTAGGATGCACGTGCTTCCAGAATTCATCTTTAAGGAAAAAACAGCACTCACTATGAAAGCAATGGAAGTTGGATGATATGGACCGTGAGACTAGAGAAACAGTCCCAAGTAGGGATGGGACTGGTCATCCAAAATAATCACAGCCAAATCCAGGGAAGAATGTCAGAAAAATGCAGGAGCATCTCTGGTGATATTTGGTTGTTTTCTTCTCAGTGAGGATGTGGCAATAGCCAGCTGCATGCCAGACTACAATCTGGAGTCCTTGTTAATGATTTAAGTTAAAATATAGTTGAGTCAAAAGTAAAAAACAAAAACAAAAAAAACCCCCATAGGCTGTTAGGCGTGGACTGAGACGATATTTGTACTCCAAAATGGCAAATGGCAGCAAATTATTCAAGTAAGAGAAGTGATTTGAATCGTGTCTGTTGTTCAGCTTGGGCAAGGAATTATAGCTCCTCCTGTAGGAGTGAGCAGCCTGTTGTGTGAAATGCTCTGAAATCACACTTACCAAAATCAATTAGAAAGGCATAAGAAATAACAAAACCATTTATTACATAAACAAGAGAAATCCTAAAAACAGTAACTGTATGTTGTGTATAAATATATGGAATATATGGAAGTTAAATCAGGGAAAAATAGTAGAAATCTTACCCTGCACTACTACAATGCACTTGTTGGCTCTTAACAAGTCAAAAGTTTTCTGCAAGCAGCCAGTTAGGTTGCATTGCCCAGCTTTCACTCAGCCAGGGGACTAAATCACCCTGTGCTCAGAGATCCTTAGACAACAATTTGCCTCTTGAGTCATGTCCTAAGAACCCAATCTTATCTGTTTTTTTCCATCTTGTACCATCTATACTTTATATATCTGTATACCTTGTACCATCTTGTACCATTTATAACTTTTCCCAGAGCCTGACAAAGGGACTTTGATTCTGAAAGCTTGCAGAAAAGGAGTTTTTTTGCAATTTCCCAGTTGGTCTAATAAAAGGTAGCATTTTGGTACCAAGAGTTCTAGTTTTTTGTATGCAGTCTTATCTGTTCATTTACATTCTTCCATTCAGTTCTCAGGGGGCATTTGTATATTCTGCAGATCACTGCCTCCCCTCGATATGCATCTGTCTGACACCTGTATTTCCTGATCCAAGTACATCTGGAAAGTATTTACAACTTTTTCAGATACATTAATCTAATCCAGTCCTTAGCTATCAATGATCTGACAGAGGTATGGCCTCTCACTTATTTTCTCCAACTGCAATTTGACTAGACCATTTCTAAGTGTTAGTCTTGCTACTGGCCTCCAGCCATGGAGTGTAAACCACCTCAGTCTGCCTGTGGGCCTATTCATCCTTTGGGCTGGCCAATATGCATAGTTATCTTGGATGCACCTTCTCAGTGATTATTCCTCAGGTGTGTGAACATTATGGTTCGGAGAGGAATACCTAATTTAACACAGCCCTCACTGCAAGTCAAACCTTACAAAATGATATGACTACAATTATAACCCAAACCCTGGTTCTTACAGGCATAAAAATAATAGAGCAAAATGCAGCTTAACATGAGCTACAAATAAAGACCAAACATTATAGTGGTAACTCTAAATCAGGAAAATATCTATGTATGACATTTTATGAGCACCCCAAAAGATTGTGAGTTCATGACAATAATCTTTCCAAGGAGCAAGGTGAGACTGACCAGCCTGTAATTCTACTGATTCCCTTTCTTAAAGATGGGCACTATATTTGCTTTTTTTCCAGTTGCCTGGATCTCACCCAACCTCCACAAGCTCTCAAAGAAAATAGCCAATATCTCTGATAACTTCTCTTGTCATATGCTTTTCTAGTGACCCCACTAGGCTGATGACATCACTTCATCAGACTATCCATCATCCACTGCCCTCCAAGCACTGTAGCTACTGTTCCTTTCCAGCCATCCCACCCCCAGTGACCCAACACTGCAATAGATACTTCTAATGCCACATAACTTTTCCTTTACTAACCTCACAATACTTTGGGTGCTATCTACATCTTATTCCCATCATGCACCACCACTCCCTGTAACTTCTTATGCCTTCAGGTGCTGTTCTCATCACACCACCCTGACTCCATAACCTATCACAGATGGATTTTATCTTCCATGCCACAGCCATGATGCACTGCTTCCTGCCAAGAAGCAGATGCTGTGGAACATCTTGGGAGATGCAACCTGAACAGTGACTGTGGCCCAGAGAAGGGAAGAGGGGATGCAAGAGAACTACACTATAACTACCAAACAGGCAGCATTATAAAAGTGAAATGTTTCAAGGGTTTGAGGGACATTTACCACTTCCTATAATCTGCCATTCTATCCAGGCTGGTATGATGCAGGAGGAAGTCTGAGGGCAGGAACAGTGGTGATGCAGCGCAAGGTCCAGAGGTGAAACAAATGGGACCCTAGATGACACTTGGAGCTGCCTGAGCAGGATGCAGAATGAGACCCTGTGGCTGACACATGTTGAAGTCTAGGAGTGATGTACACAAATGTCCAGGATTCTGTGCACTGAGGCCCTGGGGACTGTGAACTGTGCAGTGCTTTCCCCTAGGATTGATGAGACATTTGTTGATGCTGTGGGGGAACTGTTCATTGAGAATGGGGGGACACAGAACAGAGGCCTGAGGTTGGTGCAGAATGAAGCCCTGTGCTTTGGGCAGACTGAAATCTGGAAGGACACGTGGCAAGGGTTGTGAGTGATAAAGGACAAGGCCAGAGGCGAATTACAGCAAGGCTTCAGGCGCTACACTGAGCAAAGCCTGAGAAAAGCAAAGACTTTTGGGCTGGGGGAGATGCAGAAGATTGTTGTCTAGTTGTCATATATATCATATCCTCAGGGTGAACCACAGTGCATTCCTCAGGTTAGTGCACAGTGAAGCTGGATGGTGACTCCAGGGAAGATCCCAGGTGTGAAAGAGTAGTTGCAGGTGACTCATGGTGAAGCCCTGATGGCGATATTTTGAGGTCCAGGTGTGATGGAAAGTGAGGCTCTATGGGTAACCTGGAGTGATAATCTAAAGATTATGTACATTGAAGCCTGGTGAGATGCAGAGTATGGTATGAAGTGGGGACACCTGGAGGGTGTGGGGGGAACAATGCCATGGGGGAAGGCCTATGGGTAGCACAGAGTCAGGGTTGGCAACTGTCCATAAATTTATAGACTGTCTATAAAAATGAAGGCTAAAAATGCCTGTTCATGAAATCCATAAAAAGAAATTGAGCCACCTATGAAAATAGTAAGTAGCTGGAACTGACTGAAAATTCAGGTCTGGAGTACTGTGTCCACTATTGGGCCCCTCACTACAGAAAGGATGTTGACAAATTGAAGACAGTCCAATGGAGTGCAATGAAAATGGTTCAGTGGCTGGGGCACATGACTTCTGAGGAAAGAACTGGACTTATTTAGTCTGGTGAAGAGAAGACTGAGGCGGGATTTAATAGCAGCCTTCAACTACCTGAAGGGGGGTTCAAAAGCAGGTGGACCTGGACTGTTCTCAGTGGTGGCAATGACAGAACAAAGAGCAACGGCCTCAAGTTGCAGCAAGGGAAGTTGAGGTTAGATATTAGGAAAGCCTTTTTTACTAAGAGGGTAGTGAAGCAGTGGAACAGGTTATCCAGAGAGGTGGTAGAATTTCCATCCTTGAAGGTTTTTAAGACCCAGCTAGACAAACCCTTGGCTGGGTTGATCTAGTTGGGGCTCGTCCTGCTTTGAGCAGGGGGTTGGACTAGATGTGACCTCCTGAGGTCCCTTCCAACCCTCATTTTCTATTGTTCTGTGATTTCTTGTCAGAAATGAAGCTGGAGTTGAGCATTGTAGACTAGACAGAGAAGAGAAGTGCCACCTGGTGTCTAAGCAAGAGCTCAGCACCCTGCATGCAGTTCTGCCAGGTCTTTGTAGCCCACGGGAGCTCCCGGAGTCTGTTCATCCCAGCCCTGTGCTGCTCCTGGGTTTGATCGCCTTCTTGTAACACTGTTGGGTTGCAGGTAGACAGACAGTTCTTTGGGGATCTGGGTCAGGACAGGGAGGTGGGGCCAGCAGGGGTAAGGCTGGGGGTGGATTTGTAGGTGGGGAATGAGGTTGTGGGGGTGAATAAGAGCCCCCTGGGGTAGAGCTGCATGAAGTAAAACTACTGCTCCAATCAAGCAGGGTGGCCAACTCAAGAATTTATATTTTTTACTGATTACCTGAAAACATTGTACTGACAATGAACTTATATGGTGGTTTTAAACCCCTAAATTTGAACCCTGCACTTGTTCATGGCTTAGCAGAAGGGTTACATTTGCATTGTGTAAAACATATGTCAGTAAAACATGTCATTACAAACCGGTTGTCAGTAATAATTTTGCAGATTATTAGTTTAAAAAAAAAAAAGATTGGATTGGCAACCTTGCAGGAGGTATGACAGTGAAGCCCAGGGGGTGACATGTACTTTTAGGCCATAGGCTTAAAGTGCTGCTATGCCTAGGGATAATGGGAAGTGAGGGAAACAAACAGTGAGGCCCTCAGGATGTCAGGGCAGTCCTGTAAATCAGTGTAACTGCAGTTGGTCCAAATCCCCAGCTGGTATGAACTGGTTGTTCTGCTGGACTCCCTGATTTGGTTCCCCAGGTGGTATCCATCAGCAGAGCTCCTCTGAAGCCAATGGGAGCTGTTCCAGGTCAGGGTAGCTCCATTTAAGTCAAGAGAACTACAACAAGTTATGCTAACTATGGAGCCCAGGTTAGACAATTAACCACCATTTTGTAACAGATGTATTTTCTTTATTCATTCACTTCTCTATACATCAGCGCTCTACTCTTCCATGCATTGCTGCCATGTCATTGGCCATAGTTCTGTAAATCA